TGTGTGTGTGTGTGTGTGTGTGTGTGTGTGTGTGTGTGTGTAGAATGAGTTCCTACCTCAGGTTCAGATGGAGAACTTTCAGTCTGACTTGTTTTTTATACGTCTAAAGAAGAACTGGTTTTTGTCTCTCAGCTGTTTGTAAACAAACACAAAATGACGTAGAGTCATTGGGACTTCGTACATTCATGAAATATGTTCACAAAGTACTAAARAAAAAAAGAAAATATGTATATTTAAAACATTAAAATTAATTAAAATGAATAATTCCTTCTTACAGACAAGTGTAGAACTAACACTGTAATTGGTGTCATCTTCTTACTAAGTGCTCCTCCTGTCAAAACCACACATTACTGCTTTATATTCTGATATTTTATTTCTCAAAAATGTTACTGTAAATCAGGGCTATTCAACTGGTGGCCCGTGGGCCACATCTGGCCCGCAGGTGACCAAAGTTCGGCCCACCAATTGGTTCATTCATCTCTTAAGCCCAAACCTCTGGTTTTCAACTTTAATTACTATAAGTTATTTTAGTTAAATCTAGACATGTCTGGTKTCTACAGAAACATCAGAATCGTGTCTAGAAGTTGGTAAAAACCATTTCCATGGACACCCAAGACAGTTAAAACTACAAGCAGTTGAAGATAAAACTACCAAAGTGAAAATAAAATCGGTTTAAAAATGGGCAAGTCACAGATGTCAAAATAATACTTGTGTTAAATAGGAGGCAGAATGTGTTGTTTGTGTTTTTYTTTTATRATCACTACTTTTATTTTAGGGTTCTCTATGTTGTATTCATGATTAAATGCAGCAAAATAAACTATTTCAAAGGTAACAGATCTTTGTAATACTTGGTTTYTTTACATAATGAATTTAACTGCTGGATGTTCGGCCCCTCAGTTGGTGGCCCCCGGAGCAGTTTAGTTGAATTGCCCTGATGTAAARCATTTGTTTATTTGGGCAAGAAAATAAATATTTAAAAGTATCCACAGAGGCTCTGCTGAATTATTTGTGTGCTTTTATTTTGAAATCAACATTAAAGCATTTAAATATCTAACTGAATTGTGGTGTTAACATTACCAAGCACTAACTGCTGTAAATTCAGGTTCCTATAATTATAATTATTAGCAAACCACTGGGCTTCTTGGTTCATTTTATTTTTTGTCCTTCAGATCTGTAGCACCTTCCAAGATGGCGGCAGGAGTTCCCACATTTCTAGCATAATTTGTGTTGTGGTTAGCCCGTCCAATGCATTCTACTTTAGTGCGGAGAGCAACCAGAKGTGTAAAAATGACAAAGTCTTTTGTAAATAAAGTGAGCAGCTTTAGAATCAGTAAAATTCAGACYCAGCAGCTCAGAGCCTCCTGCAGCCCTGCAGAGGTCTGGTTTCTGTGGCCACATAAACACTCGCAGGTTGACAAATTAGTCCTGTTTGGACGTTGGCCAGACACGAGGTTGTGTTGTTGGAGACCCCCGGAGAGCTGAAGAGCTGCACACGGCTAATAAACTGAGCCTGGACTCCGAGTGAAAGCAGGACTTTAAGGGGTCAGGTAGTTTCGGGGTCCTGGTCCCCTCTGTGTYGTTTTTAATATAGCCTTCGGCTGCGACGAGCCGAACACAGAGCTGCCAGCCGGCGAGGCCTGAACCTGCGATGAGGCAGCTGAAGAAGCAAACGTGGTTTTTATCTCTGCTTTTAATTTGAATGTGATTCATCTGTCAGCGAGCGCCGTCTGAGCCGAGGCCACGGTACCGGCACCAGAACCGAGCTCCACGTCGCCGATGACTCACTTAGATAACAAAGCTTCATCGGGAGTTCTGGATGTTTTTAAGTGTTGCTGGACGGAGTCGGGTTTTGAATCCTGACAGGAAGTTTGGAGTGTCTGCCTGCTGCGTTAGGAGWGACCGATTCTTGAGCCGTCGCCTCGATCGCTCTGTTCTGGGAATCTTATCTCGTCTATTTTAGCTCTGTTAGTGTAGGACGTCATGTAGCTGAAAAAAAACAGCTAAAACTCAGTTGGTTTTGCAGAAAAGGAGCTAAAATTAGGTGTGGTAGTCYTCTAGAGTTATCCCCCCAACATAGACTGAGTGCTAAAGACACGGCTCAACATCTTACTAGCAACTGGTTGACAATGACACTGTGTGTTAGCAAAATGTCTCCAACACTGGACGCGTTTTAAATGAAACTTTGTGCGAAGCTTAATGCTGAAGCATAAAAAAATGTACAAAAATGTGGCAGTGTGTTGTAAAATAGCTGTAAAAAGCTGAAAATAAACAGCTAAAAATTAACTGGAAAAATATCCAGCACAAACAGGAAAAAGCACATTTGCTGAATTAAGCAGTGAGTAGCTGAAATTCTCACAAAAAGTAGAATTTAGCTAAAAACAGCCAAAATTATCTGAAAATGGCTAAAGTAGCTTAAGRTTAAGCAAACATCTAAAGGAAGCTTGAATTAACAGAAGCTGAAAAAAGTCAATTAGCAGAATAGCTGAAATGAGCATTTAGCAAATTTTAGCTTAAAAAATAAACATAAAAAAAGCTAAAATTAGCTAAATGCTGAAGGAAGCTGAAACTGGCACAACATAGTTAAAGTAAAACCAGAACAAAAAATAAAAAGCTCAGTACAGATTTATGAACATTTTAAGGCAGCTGAAAATGACTCCATTCATTTTTAATGAGAATAAAATGACAGAAAAAGCTTAATATCTAAAAGTATAAACTGCTGAAATACCAAAAGTCAAAGCCAAATTGTTCTAGAGTTGATCGTTTTGATATATAAATTGCACAAAAACTGAACTGAGCAGGAAGAAGCTGAATGAAACTCAAACTAAAAAGTAGCTAAAGGTTCAGAAAATAGCCGAAAGGATCATAAAAAGCCTAAAATGGCAGAAAGAAGCACAAAAGGTTGAAATTAGCAGAAGAATAGCATAAAATGTCAGAATGACAAAGTAAAAAGCAGAAAAATGCTAAATATCAGCTGAAGGAGGCTGAAATCAGCACATAGTTGAAAGAAGCAGAACAAAAGTTAAATAGTGCAGTAAAGATTTGTAAACATTTTTGAAGGATTTTAAYGATGGTGAAGACGGCTCCATTCATTTTCTGAGGGAAAAAAAAGCAGAAAAAGCTAAATATCTCAAAAAGTTGCAGAAATGACAGTCCTAGCTGAACAGACATTTAGCTACYATCTGTTGTGTTAATAGCTGAAACATTTTTACAACACTAAGTTACTCTCATCAGTGAATTTCATCGCCTTGAACTTTAGCTGGTGGAGTCAGTCCTGTTCGTCTGTTAGCAAAATATCTCATGAACCACTGGACAGATTTTAATAAAACTTTCAGGAAATATTAATTCGATGTTCATCTAAAACTCGGCAACGCTTCAAGGAAAGCTGTCTTTTCTCTTCCCAGGCCTACGAGCTCTCCACGCTGACGGGAACCCAGGTCCTGCTGCTGGTCGCCAGCGAGACGGGCCACGTTTACACCTTCGCCACCCGCAAACTCCAGCCCATGATCACGAGCGAAACGGGCAAAGCTCTGATCCAAACGTGCCTGAACTCGCCGGACTCGCCGCCCCGCACCGACCCCTCCATGGACCAGCGCATGAGCGCCACGGGCTTCGAGGAAACGGATCTCACCTACCAGGTGTCCGAGTCCGAGAGCATGGGCGACACCAAGGTGAGGACAGGAAGTGGTTGACGCTCACTCGTCCTTTCAAAATAAAGTTACAGGTTTAGAAATCCTTAAAGGAATGACGGCAGTTCTGTTTCTTTGTGCAAATCAGACCTCCACACAGCTGTGGTGGAAAAAAATCCTGTTATAAACAAAAGGTTTATGCTTTTCTGGCTGTAGTGAGCTRGTTTTCACCATTAAACTGTTTTTAAAGCATCTAAAAGTCTGTTACAAAGACTAACTGAAAAAATCGGATCAAATGTGAAGCATTATCCTGTTTCAGTGAAAGAAATGTTCCACACGTTAACTTTCTGAGCTCCTGAAGATAAATCACTGCAGGTCTGGCCTGTGTTAGCACCTTTGTTTATGTTTGGATTTGGACACGAAGCRATCTGATTTTCACAAAGAAGATTCAGAAACAGAGCCTGGATGTCCTCAGATTGTATATTTTTGCTCCAAAAAAAGAAATAAAACCATGAAAGATGTTATTAAGTAGGGCTGCGCAATACTGTAAAAAATCTTCTAACCCTGTGATATGAAGAAATAGRTATTTTCTACAGTATATTGTTCTATAGATAGTATATCTATCTATTGTTGGGACCTGCGTACATCACTGTATCATCTGCGAATGTGAATTGTTGCACTTCCTYACGTGTTGCCTCTGTAGCCGTGTTTCTATCCAACTAATGTGAAATTTAAGCAAATTTTTTAAATGTCTAAAAAAAAGAAAATGCGCATCAGATGTGTTACGTCAGATGTTGACGTTACGCATGGCTGTAGTAAACAGGAAGTAAAGTCAAACTCACAGAAATTCAGGAAGTTTTTGTGAATTTTGCCGTTTCCATCCACCTTTTCWAAAGCGATACTTCAAAATGCGTATAAAAAYRGTTGATGGAAACACGGCTTGTGTCCATCTCAGTTTGTTTCTTTTAATGTTAGCGTTCACGCTAACCAGGTTTTACCTCCAGTTCTCTGCCAGTTTGCTCGTCTTCCTCGTTCTCATCTAGATTCGTCGTCTTCCTCCACAGCTGTGAATTCACTTTGGACACTTCTCCAAAAAACGTGACGTTATTGTCCTAGAACTTTTACCACAAAATAAAAAAAATTTGAGCTGTTTTGACACGAAACAATCTGTCAAAATAAAAGCTGTAGTAGCCGATCAGTGACATGGTTTAGTGGTTTAGTCTCTAGATAAAATGATTTAATTAGCCTCCTACATCACAGGACCATGATGATGATGATGATGATGGTGTTCAGTCGATGTATTGTGTTGGACCCTACACAAACAGCAAAGCTAACTTGACACCACATAGCATTTGTGACATTAGATTGTCATAAAAAATCATATTTGGTTCCCCGTTGCCTACAGTGTAAACATAGCCTTGATCAGTAAATCAGCACATCAGGCGAAAACATTGCAAAAATTCAAATTAATTGGCCCTTKATTGTGTACCAGCCCACTTACAGATTGTCCCTCASTTTTTGTTTCTGCAAACAGCAGATCACCAAAGAGTGATCTAAGGCAGTGGTTCCCAAAGTTGGGGTTGGGACCCACAGTGGGGTCCTGAAACATCAAGGTTTAGTCCTGAAAATATTTTTTGACACAAAAAAATGACAACTAAGATCATTAAATTCCTTTTGTTTTTACAAAATAATAAGATTAGTTTACTTAAAATMGACAAAAATAGCGTAATAAATAATYCTACTATGCTGTTGTTGATTTGYCGTGAAAATGTGTTTATCAGCTGACAACAGCTGGGGGCACAGGTCTCTGCTGCTGGTGTTTTGTGGGTCAAAAGCCYAAACGTTTGGGAACCACTGATCTAAGGTGTCTGAGCTGATCAAACGAGTTCTGATAATTCTCTAAAACTTCGGCGCTTAAACGCTCCATCGTGTGCTGCAAACACAGATTTCCTCCCGTGTTTACGCAGCTCGAGCCGGCTCCTTTGAAGACGGGATGCTCTCGATGACCTATTCGCTCACGTGCTGTTTTTTTTTTTTTTTTTTTTTTTTTTGGGAGCGCTAGCTAACCCGTACGTTAACTCTGTCAGGGATGGCAGGCCAACCTTTGCGCGTTAATCCAGCTCTGAAGCGGCGCTTTGCTCATTGATAAAAATGAGATTCTGCCTCTGTTGCCATATATGGTATGGTTTCCCTGCCTGCACTCTTGGCTGAGGCCCTCACATTCCTTATAAGCTGCAGCTGTCTTTGGAGTCCTGTGATTTCACCCCCACTCTCTCGAAC